TAAATGAAAGAACAGTTAGTACTAGAACTTTTTTATTAACCTATTATGCATTCAAAGTCTGTATGAAGTGTTCAGAGATTTCCCAAAACAGAAATATCTGTTCGGTGAAAGCTAAGAAAACATTCTGATCCGTGTGGTAAAGAGTATATCTTTCCTAATCTTCAAAAAATAAAACAAACTGCCTCACGAAGAGCTGACTATTAAGCCACAATACTGAATATTTTCTTGCTCAGCAGATAGCAAAATTCCTCGTGATTAAATCCTAGGAGCCAGATTTTTCTCCCCCTAGTCTTGTTCTTATGTGGCATGGAGAAAATTTTACAAAGCATCCACTTCTTCACTTTGTCTGTTGACATTCTGTCTTCAAAAACAGACTCGGAAGAGATTTTCCTCTGCTATTCCAAAGCAAGCGTAATGGAACACACCTTAAAATCTGACAGTTGTAATAAAGAAAAATTGTATCTGTGTGTGCCCTGGATACCAACTACAAGAAATATCCCTCTTTCTCTGGAGTGGCTGTGTTTCAGGGCATCATCATACATTAAACTACTTACTATGCAAAGGAGGAAGTTGATACATAACTCAAAATCAAATATTCTAAAATCCCTACTGTTCATAAGAACTATGGGCAAGTCAAAATCAGACCAATTAAATTTTATTCCTCGACTGGCCCCTCAACCACATGAACAGTGAAGGTAAGAGCTGGGACGGGAGAGATGCGAACTATTCACAAATTATTTTTAACTTCTCTGCTATCAAGATCTTAGTTAATAAACAAGAATAATACCCATTTCACAAGGTTGTTGCAAGGATCAAATGAGTTCTTCCATAAAAATGATTTGCCTGGTCAAAGGAACATGATAGGCTACTATGCCCAAAACCAAACTCTTCATTTTCTCTTTAAAAAAGTAAGCCCTCGGGCCAGGCACGGTGGCTCATGCCTGCAATCCCAGCACTTTGGGAGGCTGAGGTGGGCAGATCGAAAGGTCAGGAAATCGAGAGTATCCTGGCCAACATGGTGAAACCCTATCTCTACTTAAAATACAAAAATTAGTCACCCGTGGTGGTGGCACTTGTAGTCCCAGCTACTCAGGAGGCTGAGGCAGGAGAATGGCTTGAACCCGGGAGGCACAGGCTGCAGTGAGCTGAGATCACAACACTGCACTCCAACCTGGGTGACAGAGTGAGACTCTGTCTCAAAGAAACAAACAAAAAGTAAGTCCTTTTCCTGCCCCTTTTCTAATTATGAGTGGTGTCCAACAAAGAGTAATCCTTGCCCCATTATACTCTCACCAAAACGCTGCCAAGTAACCCAGGCCTATCAAGTTTACCTTCATAATTTCTACCATATCTCTTTTTTGGGGGGCAGGTGGGGGACGGAGAACCAGAGTTTTGCTCTGTCACCCAGGATGGAGTGCAGTGGCATGATCTCGATTCACTGCAACTTCCTCCTCCCAGGTTCTAATTGATTCTCTTGTCTCAGCCTCCGGAGTAGCTGAGATTACAGGCATGTGCTGTCACACCCAACCCATATCTCATTTTTTGTCCCACTGCCACCACTATAGTCCAGGTTAGGGTTTCTCAGTCTCAGCGCATCTTGGGCACATAATTCTTGTGGAAGTTGTCCTGTGCACTGCAGGGTATTTAGCAGCATTTCTGGCCGCTACTCACTAGATGCCAGTAAAATCACTCTCTCCCCCCTGGTTATGACAACCAAAAATGTCTCTAGACACTGCCAAATGCCACTTCTCCATTGTCACCCTCATTCCCATGTTTTAGTACCACTGGCCCAGTTTCTCACTTCATATCTGCCATACAAAATCAGCCCCCAAGTTAAGACTACAGTTTTATTCCTCTAACTCCTGTGGCCCTGACAAAGGACTCCTAAAGCACTGCCTTATGAGTCATTTCTCTGAAATCTACTACTCCCTGTTACTTTCATAATTAGTTCAAAGCTCTCCATCCAACCTAGATAATCTGGCCACAATTAAACATTATTCCACAAAGCACCTGATACAGTGGCTACCCAGCAGTCCTTCAATAACATATCCAGTCTCTCCCTTTCTGATCTACTGCTGTCATCCTGGTTAGATGTCCACGACTTAGTATCCAATCCAAATCACTGAATGAGTCTCCTTCCCTACCCTCTCTGCCACTTGAACATTTTTCAATGGGTCTCCGTTGCCTGCTGAAATATCTTATCTGCTGCCCTTCTTCAGGTCTTTCCTAATATGGCCTCTTTCTAGTTCTATGTTCCGTTATCTTGAAAACATTAGTCCTTGAAAAGGCTCCTATATGGTCCACTTTTTTTCTCTGCTTGGAAGCCGTCATAAATCCACTCCCCTCACTCCACCCTAATTTAAAGTCCATTTCAATTAAGTCAAAAAGCCTTTCTTGATCATACCTCTTTTGTATTTACATAACACTTGGCACCTCTCCTATGGCATACAATCTACCTTATGATATACATGAGTACTCCTATAATTGACACAAGATCCTTAAGAGCTTCTTACTCCTCTTCTGATGCCTGCAATGCCTAGCCCAGTGTTAAGCAGAGCACGCAGCATTAGATATGAGTTGCCTCAAATGTTTCCTGTTTAGAAAGCAATAGAGGATTGTGTTTTCAGACAATCCCAAACTGCCTTAAGGGAATTAAGCACATATTCTCCTTTTGTCTCTTATTTATATATCTTAGACCAATTTTTAAGTAAACTGCCTTCAAGATATCTAAATTGGCCGAGTACGGTGGCTCACACCTGTTATCCCAGCATTTTGGGAGGCCAAGGCGGGCAGATTACCTAAGGTCGGGAGGTACACCAGCCTAACCAACATGAAGAAACCCTGTCTCTACTAAAAATACAAAATTAGCCGGGCGTAGTGGTAGGTGCCTGTAATCCCAGGTACTCAGGAGGCTGAGGCAGAATTGCTGGAACCCAGGAGGCAGAGAGGTTGCAGTGAGCTGAGATCGCGCCATTGCATTCCAGTCTGAGCAACAAGAGTGAAACTCCATCTCAAAAAAAAAAAAAAAAAAGATACCTAGATTGCTATTTAGTACACATTACTGTAAGAGTTCTGTTTCTGGGAGTCCCAGCAGCTTCTAACTTGTAGCTAAACCCTGAATATTTAAGTTCTTTATGCCAAAAGACAATAGAAATTTATTTTTTGAATGTTAGTAAAATTGAGGAAAACATAAAAATAACTTGCATTGGATTAAACATGTTTGAAGTAAAGATTCATTAATGCTTATGTGTCTGTCCTAAAAATTACATTTAAAGTTCTAAAGTCTTCTTATATCATTAAAAAGATTGTCAGTTTTATTTCAACTCTTTCTCACCTCAAAGACAAACCAAAATAGAACAGAGAAGACTTTTCCTTAATTTTATTTAGATCTTAACTTGAAGGTACGTTTTGTTACTTCTTCAAAAGGAGCAAAAAAAGAGTATCACTAATGAGCATGTTCCGACCAGATCTTTAAGTCCTACCCCAAAGCTATATACGAGGCAGCCCACACCACCAGCACCCTTCTTTAGCTACAAACTCTGTTTTGTATGTCCCTGAGCTAAGAATGGTTTCACATTTTTGTGTTTTGTAAACACAAAAACAAAGGAAAATACGCAACAGAGAGCATATACAGCCAGCAAAGCCTGAAATATTTACTATCTGTCTCTTTCCAACAGGATGAATTTGGGACTCCTCGTTGCCCTTCACTGGCACATAGACACCCACCTTTCCTCCCAAGGTTTTAAAAAAGCAATATAAAACACAAGAGCGTGTAAAAAGATCGAACTCGTTGAACTCAGTCATAGTTTATGCAGACGTAACTCCTAACAGAGGTCCATGTGTGGACATTTTCATATTCACCAAATTCTTGTTAGAAGAAACTTGCCTTCATTCTGTAGATGAACATACTTAGGCTTGAAGAGGGAAAGTGCCTGATCCCAAGTGACACTGCTGGTTTACAGCAGAGTAGGGTCAAGGATTCAGCCCTCAAAGCCCTGGTCCAATGCTCTGCAATCCACTGCATAGGCTGTTATGTGTGCCTTTAAGTTTTGGAGATGTGGATAACTAGCTTGGATCAGTATAAAAGATGAAAGCTTAAAACCTGTTCCCAATACGCTGTTTAGATAGACTCCTACTAGCAGCCATGAATCATTAAACAGAGTAGCATTAATGCTCACCATATACATGAGATAAGAACTTCTAGGAAGTCTTCTGTTTTAAAAGAAGATATGATAAAGAAGGCTTGAAACCGATAGGGCTTGCTCCTCCAGGGCTTTAGATTCGGGCAAACACGCACGTTTGCCTTCCAGCTGTTCAATGCTCATCGCCCAACCCAAATCCACAAGTTCCACAAATGCTTTCGAATGACCGGTGAAAAACACTGTTCAGTCTCATTTCACACACACGTTCTATAAAAAATTACAAGTTCCTGGGTTCTACTTGTAAAACTACTAACCAGTTCACATTTTTTAAAATGTCCCTACGAATTTTGCTTCTTTTCAGGAAAAAAAAAAAAAAAGAAAAAAAACCTGCTTCTTCGATTCCTAAATCTATAAAACTCACTTTATCGCGTCTTCTCGGTTAATTCAAGAATTAAAAAAAAAAAAATTTTGCCCATACTGATAACTTCACTACTCTGCAGGATCCCAAGAGCTCTGTGTATACCAGGTTCTAGAATTCATACACATTAACAACGTAAGATCCTTCACATGAGGTAGCTCTTGCAGGGTAGAGCACGGATGCTCAGGGTGGTGGGGGATGCCGGCTGAAGCTCCTCAGACCCCCACCACAGGAGCTCCGTCCTCTAAAAGCGACCCCCTCCCCTCGCCCGCGGCGCGAGTCCAGGCCGCCCCGGCACCTGCGGCCCGGGCCCGCAGCGGGGACCCCGGGGAACCAGCCCCGCGCCGGGCCCCAAGGAGTCGGCTCCCACTCCCACTCCCACTCCCGGAGGCCGGCTACTGCAGGCCTGAGCCGCCCGCCGACCCCGGACGCGGCGTTACCTGGAGGACCACGTCGTTGGGCAGCTGCGCGGCCCGGAACAGCTCCAGCACCCGCCCGTTGACCACCACCTTCTTGGTGCTCTCAATGTCGCAGTAGGAGAAGAGATCTGAATAGTATTTCTGCTCCGCATCGCTCAGCGTTAAGCCTTCCATCTTCGCCTCCGGCTCACGGCCACCCCGCCCCGCATACACTACCAGGGGCCCGGCCCCAGGACGCTGGGCCGGTGGGGGCTGTGCGTGGCCCGGCCTCCTCCTCGCTTCCCGAAGCCGTCGGCCCGGGCCTCACACGCGCCAGGTGCGCCCGAGCAACAGGGCCAAGAGGTCGCGAGGAGAGGGCCCCGCCGAGCTCCGCGCGCCGCCGCCTGCGAGGCCCGGCGCAGTCCTGGGGTCCGCGCGGAGTGCGGCGGCGGCGGCGGCTGCGGCTGCGGCTGCGGCTCAGGCCCCAGCCCCGGCCCCGGCGGCGGCCGCCGGGAGGGTGGAGAAAGAGGCGGGGGCCGCGGAGGCGCGAGGCACTGGCGGACTCCGCCCCCGCCGCGGGTTCGAGTCTCCCCGGCTCCCCGCCGCGTCCCCCAGACTTCCCGCCTCAGCTTCCCCTTCTGTCCACGCCTCCGGAGCGGCAGCGCTTCCCGGAAAGTTCCCGGGTTTGAACCTAAAGTTTCGGAGGCTCTGGGCTGAGCGTGGCCGCCGCTCCGCCTCCTTCCGCCGCCATTTACAGCGCCCCGGCCCGGCCCTGACGCGCTCGCACCAACAGTGACAGCGGCGGCCGCGCTCCAGACCCGGATGTGAGGCCGGGAGGAGAGAGCGCGAGAGGGAGAGAGAAACACCCACCGGGCTGGCTTGGCCGCTCCCGGGAGAGGGAGGGGGCCGCAGCGCCCCCTGGTGGCCGGCGCCCGACGACGGGATGACCGCGCCGCCCTCTGCGCGAAGACCTGGGCAGCAAGACCCCCGGAAAGCGGGGTGCAGCGGGGAACAGCCAGCCAGCAGCTCACTAACACCGAGATAACTTAGATACATACGGGTTGCAGTTTTTGTGTTTCGCAGTTTCTGGTCCTAAGAGTCTAAAACAAATATTGGATTGAAAGGGGAGCCTTGTTCAGGTTATTACCATTCTATCTGTACCTTTTTGGTGTCAGGTGTGACTGAAGGTAAATGCAGTATTTCCACCTGCTCTGGAAGGCTCTGGACATCCAGTCTATCCGGGAACCCTCCACGCAGAGACATCAACTTTGATGCCTCATCTCATTCGTGCTTCAAGCCTACTTACCTCTGACACAAAATTCGCTGAGTAGAGGGGAAAATTGGCAAAGTTGTCCTCTTTGTTCACAAAGTCATTCTGGTCACGAAACTTAACACTACGCTTTTTTTTTTTTTTTTGAGACGGAGTCTCGCTCTGTCGCCAGGCTGGAGTGCAGTGGCACGATCTCAGCTCACGGCAACCTCTGCCTCCCAGGTTCAAGCGATTCTCCTACTTAGCCTCCCGTGTAGCTGGGACTACAGGCGCCCGCCACCACGCCTGGCTAATTTTTTGTATTTTTAGTAAAGACGGGATTTCACCGTGTTAGCCAGAATGGTCTCTATCTCCTGACCTCGTGATCTCCCCGCCTCGGTCTCCCAAAGTGCTGGGATTACAGGTGAGAGACACCGCGCCCGGGCAATACTTTACATTTATATCATCAACTCTATCAACTTATGTAGGCCCAGGCTGCCCACAGGGGCTACCATCCCTTATTTCCTCCTTTATGAAAATCATGGAGTGGCACTCTTAATCTACACTTGTCTCAGACAGGGGGTTTTTAAGCTATTTCAAGTAGAATATCTACTCCCGGCGCGGTGGCTCACGCCTGTAATCACAGCACTTTAGGAGTCTGAGGTGAGCGAATCACGAGATCAGGAGATCGAGACCATCCTGGCTAACACAGTGAAACCCCGTTTCTACTAAAAATACGAAAATTAGCCGGGCGTGGTGGCGCACACCTACAGTCCCAGCTGCTCTGGAGGCTGAGGGAGGAGAATCGCTTGAACCCAGGAGGTGGAGGTTGCAGTGAGCAGAGGAAGTCCCACTGCACTCCAACCTTGGTGACAGAGCAAGACTCAGTCTCAAATAATAATAATAATAATAATAATAGTAATAATATATACCTTAAGAATTTACACTTAGCAAATATCAAATATTTCAAAGACAGTAGCTAAGGCAGAATTACACAGATTTTTGGTTCTTATTTTGTCTTCTACAAGTTGTTTTCCAGAGTGCGGTTCCTATAGACGGCACATGTGAGGACATTATTATAGGTAATAGCAAATTTAAAGAGCACTGAAAACCCAAAGACTTTTTTGTAACCTTTTGGAAGTAAAACCTGCCCTGCCTCATTTGGAGGCAAAATCTAAGCTAAGCTTTCATGAAGCTATTTCTAGTCTTTGTGGATGCTGCTTAGTGTCAATATTTATTCATTTCACTCCAGGCCTTCACAGAATGTTAATATGTGCACAGTCACAGGCAATGTATTATCTATTTTTAAAAAAGATAAGAGATTGTGGACCTGTCAATATCTTCTGACCTGACTAGTAGCATTTGATAAAGGTAAGTATACACTATCCATTAAGCTTATTTTCCATCTCTAAGACTTTCAGTTTGCTACAGCCAGCCCCTCATATGTCCTTTTAGGGTACCTGCAGGAAGTGATCAGAGCCCTCCAGACAGCTGCCTTCCAAAGTTGTAAACGGGAAGAGCACAGTGAGGTAGGGACTGGCTCACAACTGTCTTTGCATCTTTTTCTCTGCCACCGTTGCTAGGCCTTGCAGCTCTTGTCTGCCCCAGGGCCTTTGCTTCCACCATCTAAAATAGTTCTTCCACAAACCATGGCATAGTGTATTCACTCACATGATTTCAGGTCCCTGTTCATGTGTCACCTCCTAAGAGCAGCCTTCCTGCAACAGCTGCTCTAAAATAGTCCCACCACATATTAGCCCCTTATCTGAATTCTTTTTTTTTTCTTTTGAGGCAGGGTCCCCCACTGTCACCCAGGCTGGAGTGCAGTGGCATAATCTTGGCTCACTGTAGCCTCAACCTCCCAGGCTCAGGTGATTCTCCCACCTCAGTCTCCCAGGTAGTTGGGACCACAGCTGCTCTAAAATAGTCCCACCACACATTAGCCCCTTATCTGAATTTTTTTTTTTTCTTTTGAGGCAGGGTCCCCCACTGTCACCCAGGCTGGAGTGCAGTGGCATAATCTTGGCTCACTGTAGCTGCAACCTCCCAGGCTCAGGTGATTCTCCCACCTCAGTCTCCCAGGTAGTTGGGACCATAGGCCCAGGCCACCATGCCTAGCTAAATTGTGTGTGTGTGTGTTTTTTGTAGAGACAGAGTTTTGCCATGTTGCCCAGGCTGGTCTCGAACTCTTGGGCTCACCCACCTCAGCCTCCCAAAGTGCTGAGATTACAGGCATGAGCCACCACACCCAGCCTGAATTCTTTTTCTTTATAACACTTCTCACTACCTGACATTACATATATGTCTGTTACATTTCTAATAACTATTGAATACTTCCTAAGTTTCAGGCATTGTTCTAAAACTTTATGCTAATTACCACATTAATCACAACCCTATTAAGTAGGTACTATTAGGTTGTTTTCTTTGACAGATTAGGAAACTGAGGCAAAATGGGTTAAATATTATGTAAGTCATGTTGCTATTAAATATCCGTATCTGGGATTCAAACTCCAGGCTGTCTCAACTCTAAAATCACTACCCTATATTGCCTTTCTTATTTCCTTATTAAGTTTGTTATTAAGAAAATATTTCTTGGCCAGGCATGGTGGTTCGTGCCTGTATCCCAGCACTTTGGGAGGCCAAGGTGAATGGATTGCTTGAGCTCAGGAGTTCGAGACCAGGCTGGGTAAAATGGTGAAACATCATCTCCACCAAAAATACAAAAATAGCCAGATATGATGGTGTGTACCTGTGGTCCCAGCTGTTCGGAATGCTGAGATGGGAGGAGCACTGAAACCCAGGAAATAGAGGCTGCAGTGAGCAGTGAACATACCACTGAACTCCAACCTGGGTAACAGAGCAAGACTCTGTATCAAAGAAAAAGAAAAGAAAAGAAAAAGAGAAAGAAAAGAAAAGAGAAAGGAAGGAAGAGAGGGCAGGAGGGAGGGAGGGAGGGAAAATATTTCTTCATTGCCACAGTGCCAAACCCCAGTATGTGACTCATAATGTGTATCAACAATAATTTGTTGAATGAATGAAAGTGTGAATTTCAACATTGATGTGATAAGCCATTCAATACAGTTAGTCCTCAATTAATGTTATTGTTGATAAGTCCTTGAAAACTGATTTTAAGCAAAATAAGGTATTGTAACCAAGTAGTTTTGCTTCAAAACAAAACTTTTTTTCTTTTCTCCTTTCTTCCCAGCCTAAAGATGGAAACTTGAAACAAACTGTAGAAACCTTTTCTCTTTACTCTTAAACTATAGCCTTGAAGCATACTTTGCAACTCCACTCCCTTCCATTTCCCACAATGTACCCTTACCCAATACACATTCATCTAACTGTATGCTTCTTAAAAATTCCAGGGGCTAATTTAAAATTAACTAGGCACAAAGGCCCAGCTGCAGAATTGTCCCCCATTTAAAGATTGCCTCAAAATTGTTAATCTGCAGCCTGGCCACAGGTGAGCTGACACCAGCCTGTATGTTTAGGTGGACCATAACTCAAGATAGCCATTAAAGCAAGACTCACAGCCCCTGCTCTCTGCACAACTCCTGCACGTCTCCCATATCGAGCTTCCCTTTTTTAAACCTCTGCCTTCAGCCCAGACTTTTGAAACAGTTTCCAGAGGTGTAAGCTGACTATTTCCCCACTGCTAGCTTTGAAAAGTAAAGTAAAATCCCAACACTTTGGAAGACCTAGGTGGGCGGATCACCTGAGGTCAGGAGGAGTTCAAGACCAGCCTGGCCAACATGGCTAAACCCCATCTATACTAAAAATACCAAAAAAAATTTAGCCGGACATGGTAGTGTACGCCTGTAATCCCAGCTATTCAGGAGGCTCAGGCAGGGAATCGCTTGAACCTGGGAGGTGGAGGTCACAGCAAGCCGAGATTTCACCACAGCACTCCAGCCTGGGAAACAAAGCGAGACTTCATCTAAAAAAAAAATTACTCCTTGATATGGTTTGGCCGTGTCCTCCCCCAAATCTCATATTGAATTGTTTCCATAATTCCCACGTGTCGTGGGAAGAACCCGTTGGGAAGTAAGAGAATCATGGAGCAGTTACCCCTGCTGTTCTCCTGTTAGTGAGTTCTCGGGAGCTCTTAATGGTTTCTTAAAGGGGTTTTCCCCTTTTGCTCAGCAGTTCTCCTTACTGCCACCATGTGAAGAAGGACATGATTGCTTCCCCTTCTGCCAAGACTGTAAGTTTCCTGTGGCCTCCCCAGCCATAATGGGAGTCAATTAAACCTCTTTCCTTTATAAACTACCCAGTCTTGGGTATGTCTTTATTAGCAGCCTGAGAACAGACTAATACAATAAATTGGTACTGCAAAGAGTGGGGTGCTGCTGTAAAGATACCTGAAAATGTGGAAGTGACTTTGGAACTGGGTAACAGGATGAGGCTGGAAAAGTTTGGAGGATTCATAAGAAAGTAGGAAAATGTGGGAAAGTTTAGAACTTCCTAGATATTTGGAAGGCTAAGCACACTGATGTGGGAAAGTTTGGAACTTCCTAGAGACTTGTTGAATGGCTTTGATCAAAATGCTGACAGTAATCTGGACAATGAATTCCAGGCTGAGGTGGTCTCAGATGGAGGTGAAGAAC